TGTGTGTGTGTGTCTGCTTTTGCTCTCTCTGTGTGTGAAAGTGTGTAGGAAAGTGGGAGGGAGAAGCGTGTGAAAGAAAAGTTAGATTATTCTAACAGAGAAAGAAGTTTGGAACTAGACCCTCTTGCTGAAGTTCCTTTTAAAAAAGGAAATGAGAAGGTGCTGCTATCAAAAAGGGGACTTTCTTCTGACACCAACTGTGCTATAAGTTCTTGGCTAAATAAGATTTTTCTTCTAAATGTCTTACTCCATAACTTATTGTATGAAATGAGAGGGTGAGAGAAGAAGAAAAGCTTTCTTTTTGTTTTTTTTCTACTTGTTTAAGATGATCAGTCACCAGCAGATGTCAATGTAATGCAGGATATTGTCACATAGGTGTGCTTGCATGCATTCGTGTATGCATTCTGTATCCAGGCCTGAGTGCAGTTCAAGTGCACCCCACTTGACTGAAGTCAACAGTCCAACCACCATGTGCTCCCTGTGTTTTCCCACTTGCAGGAAGCTTTGCATAGCTCAACACCCACACTTTCCTACAGACTCAGACACCGGGAAATTAGTCACACAGAGGTATTTTGCACATTTTTACAGTGACAGTGAAGTCCCTGTCACATGCTTTAGATCGGAAGTGGAATTGACAGAGTTTGTTTCAATTATTCAGATCTGGCATCCATAACCAATGGATGTCTGTGTTTCTCAACCTCTGCTCTAAACATCCGACTATAAAGACCCACACACAAGCAGGTCTTTTTGGGTAACGCAAGAAGCTGAGGTTTGAAAGCCATTTAAAATCAGACCAAACCAGTTCTGACTGTTTCAAAAGAAACAAAAAAGAAATCACCTACAGCAAAGTCATCGTGCCAAAACAAGTAGGGCTGATAATTCCAAGAGGTCCATTTTTAAACCTGGAGTGGTTTGTTGGTTTGTTGGAGGGGGATAACTGGATTCACATAGAGCTGGCCACTGGCATGCACACACAGTCAACAGTCGAGTGCAAAAGCACACTTGGACGCACTCGAGCAAGTACACACATGAGGGTGCACAAATGACACACGCGCAAAAAGAGATTGTTTTCCCACTGAGATTTACATCTGTACATACATATGCGCACAAAGCGGTGGCGGTGAAAGGAGGACTGAGACTGGGTTGGGACAGGCAGCTGAGTCACACTTCCTTTAATGCCAACACAGCTCTGTGTCCCTCATTCCAGTGAGACAACCTCTGGAATGTGTGTGTGCATGTTTGCACGTGAGAGCGTCAATCTGTCTGGGTGGGAAAGAGAGAGAAAAATGGAGTGTGTCGTCTTGAATGTGGCTCCTTCGTGTGTTTAAGCCTGAGTGGGTGTGAAATTCGTGGACTTGTGCTTGAGTCTGGATGTACAGTACATCGGCGTGTGCATTTGCGTAAAGCACACGTGCACACAAGTTTGCGTCTTTCAGAGACTTATCAATTGCGTTCCAAACTGTGAGAAAGTCAACACGGATGTGGGGCCTCTCCCGGGCCATTAACACAACACATTCAACCATTTCGATTGGAGAAATGTCAACAAGCAGGCGCTCTCTCCCCCATTCACTCAAACCATGACTCACCCCGACACTATCCCAGTCATGCAGATGCAGACTTGCATGATATTTACTGAAATTCCTTTGACAAGTTCCTAACTATTCTCGCTATAGTACAGTACACTACAGTGGGGGGTTTTTCTTCTTCTTCTTTTTTTTTTACAAGAGGCATGTTTGTTGATGAAAGTAGAGAGGAAGGTGCTTTTTAGGGGGGTGGCACCTTTGAAGTTTCGTGAGTCATAAGAAAAATGTTTATAGGTACTTTTCTGACCTGCAGCATAAGGTGACGGGGTGAATTGGGGTTGTCACTGCTCACTGGGGCTTCAACATAGGGCAACAACTTATTTTCATTATTTCTTTACAAAAGCAGGCCACGGTTTTTCCAATTTAGTCCAAGGTAACGTCTTCAGATTGCTTATTTTGACCGGCCAACAGTCCAAAATTAAGAGAAATTCAATTCAAAAGCAAAAATTTCTCTTATTTGAGAAGAAGGAACCAGTAAATGTTTGGGATGTTTGCAAGTTCAATTAAATCGTTGGCAGTGAATTTATTAAGCTGATCAAACGATTAACTGTGCAGACAAGATTTCTGAGCTGATGTTCTCATTCATCTCCAGAAAAGGGCATTCAATTTAGCTACCAACGCTTCTCAAAGGCAACGAAACCACAAGCGGGGATATGTCTGGTTCGTTGTACCTGAGCTGTCAACGATTCTAATCTCCGATTCAACCAAACTGCAAACCAATAAACAGTGTTTTCTCATCTCCTCTTGTTCTGCACTTTCCCCTCAACCACGCTGCTTTCTCCTGCCTTCTTTCACCGCTTCTCCCAGGTGCCCTTTAATCTCTAACAGGTGGCCTTTTAAAAAGCCATCTTAATCACCTGCAGAGAGAGAGAGAGA